GAAGGAGAAGGAGAAGGAGAAGGAGAAGGAGAAGGAGAAGGAGAAGGAGAAGGAGAAGGAGAAGGAGAAGGAGAAGGAGAAGGAGAAGGAGAAGGAGAAGGAGAAGGAGAAGGAGAAGGAGAGTCACAAAGATTTGTGAAATCCAAAAGGCAGTGTATGACCCAAGAAACACTTCTTTAAAATCCTTGGACTTCTACAAGATAAATGGAAGCCCTTAAAGGAGGTCCAGGGCTGGGTGCTGGTGGCATACACCTTTAATTCCAGCACTTGGGAAGCAGAGGCAAGCGACCTTTGTGAGTTTGTGGCCAGTCTGGTCTACAAAGCAAGTTCCTGGACAGCCAGGACAGTTATATATAGAAACCCTATCTCTGAAAAAAAGGGGGGTCAAGTGTACCACTACTGTGCTCCCTAAAATTACAAAAACTAAATGTCATAGTATAATTGGTTTCTAGTTTTGTTTCTAGAGTTGATCAGTGGACCATTCTAAACCTATTATATTTATATTTTATATTATTAGATTATAGGAAACATGAGGGTGTCAAGGAGATGAGGGTGAGGTTGAAAGGCGGAAGAAGAAAGCAGAAGCAGGTAGCAAAATCCAGATGGGCATTTGAAAGTTGGTTTCTTATAGGTTTTTTGTTTAGTTTTGTTTTGTTTTTTAAGACAAGGTTTCTCTGTGTAACAGTCCTAGCTGTCCTGGAAGTAGCTCTTGTAGACTAGGCTGGCCTTGAATTTACAGAGATCCTGCCTCTGCCTCCCAAGTGCTGGGATTAAAGGCATGCACCACCTCCACTTGGCTTTTGTTACAGGTTTGAATCAAAGTTTTACTCCGCTAACTTGAGCTGACTATATTCTCTTGTTATTTTGTCTGGAGTTGGTTCTCTCCTTCCACCATGGATCTAACTCAGGTTAGATCTAACTCAGCTTCAGCAGCAAGCACCCTTACTTCCTGAGCCATTCTGCTGGCCCCAAACTGGTCCACTTTGAAGCCTAATTTGATTATACATCACTTAGCGTGGGTGATTTATTCCATTCTGGTTTGGTCTTGTATATTAAAATCTAATGCAGGAAGTTAGTGTAAAACTCACCTCCCCTAATTTTTGAAAAATAAAAATAAAATTGTATTTATTAATTTATTTCATATGGGGTGGGGTAAGCACAAGCTGCAATGCAAGTGTGTCAGTCAGAGAACCACTTGCAAGAGTGACTTCTCTCTCCTTCCACCATGTGTCTCAGGGATGGAATTCAGGTCATGAGGATTGGCGGTTAGTGCCTTCATCTGCTGAGCTATCTAAATGGCCCAACTTCCAGTAACTTTGGTTTAAAACACTGAAAACTTTTTAACCCTTATGAGAGGTACACAAAAGATAAAGAGAAAATAAGCAAAGCATGAGGCTACAGAAACATTAACAAATAACAGATAAAGACTGCAAGAGAGGAAACAAAGGAATTGGCGATACAGTCGGCCAACAGTAAAATGGCAACATTAAGTTCCCATCGATCAATAATCACTTTAACTGTAAGTGGATTAGACTAACTAAAACATAAGTATTTGATGTTTTTAAGACAGTATTCAATAGAGCATTGCCTACAAGAAAATGTTTTCCTTATACACACACACACACTAACACACATGCACATGGGCATATAGACAAAGATTAATGATAATAATTCATCGAGGAAAAAGGAAACTTTCAGCCAAAATCTATAGTAGAAAAAATCTCTCTGAATAATAACAAAGAAGCCAGTTTGTTCAGGAGATACGTTTGCAAAAATATACTGTTGTGTATCACTTTACTCCACGATTCAAACCTTCCATCTTGGAGGGAAGCTAGTTACAACACAGCATGTTTAGAAGGAGGTAAATCACCAGATGGTCCTAGTGAGGCCAAGGATTCCATCCTGCAGGGAAAGTCAAGTTCAGTTGAGGTCCAGGATCCTTGATAGCTTCAGGAAGTCCCTAAAACTGACCAGATTCACTAGACATGCCTCTCCCTGGGCTTATATAAGCTGTGGGGAATGCTGAGAGACACTCTCAGACATACAAGCTGCCTGGAAGAAGCAGGGGGAGCCGCTGAGCTACCTGGAAGAGGCTCAGACCACCTGAGCTAGCTGAAAAGGACGCTCTCCAACCTGCTGAGCTACTTGCAGGCTGTGCAGTAGGCTCCAGATTCCCAGCTCTTGTGAGCTGTTTGTTGTCCTTGCTGGGTGGCTTTGGTGATGTAGCTGTCTCTGAGTTATTTCTGCTTCTGTAAGTAACATCTCACCCATCTTCCTGAAGTCACCCCCAACAGGGCTAATGGATTCCCCATGTTGGACTTGGAATAGGAGAAACTGAGAATAACAAATTGATATTATAAAGGACCCATGAAGTTTCTTTTAGGGAATATTAAATAATACAAAGTAGAATTCAGCTTAGGGAGCCCTCCCAGGACTTTTAGCAGGGTAAGGCAATCCTGCCAGGAGGACAAGACAACCTTGGTTAACACCTGCCTGGTAAAAGCGATCCAGGATTGTCTTTGGATAACTGTGACAATATTTTATACTGTAAATGTTCCTATTTGTCCAAACACCCAAACCTTGATATTTCTGTCTTCGTGAAGCGTGTTTAATTAATCAAAATGTAACTTGAGGTCATAAAACTTTATAAGGCAATAGGAATGGGAGGGCGGGGTGATGCCTGTTCATGGCCAATTTCCCCTTGGACACTAGCAAACACTGGACACATGTTGTTATTATTATTGAGAGGTTTTTCCCTTATTTTTCCTGAGTGTGTGACATGAGTTATCACCAAGGGGGATGGCTGGTTTCTCTGCTGTCTCCTCACTTTAGAGAGTCATCAGTGTCCTATCTAGGGTAAGGAGATGTGTGTTTGTGTTTCCACAGTAATACTGTCACACAACTTAAACAACAAACCAGAAAGGATAAAGAGTCAGCTTTAAGCAACAGTAGTTCTAGGACAGCCAGGATCGCACAGAGAGACCCTGTCTCAAGGGGAGAGGGGGTGGGGAACAGAAACTAAAGATTGAAGCCATGCAGTAATGGTACAAAGCCATTGATTTCAGCATTTGAGAATCAGAGGCAGGCAGATCAAAAACAAAACTAAAGAGTGAATTCATAACTAAATGGAAATAGTAAAATTATTGAAAACTGAAATTGCAATATAAGGAAGTTTTCCAAAGAATACTGTGGCTACGTCGAGGCAGCCCTTTGCTAAAGAGAGTAGCATAGTTAGAGATCAGTTTTAGTCATGAAAGCAATGGAGAATGACCCTGAGGTGTTCGGGAGGTCTTTGAGGCAAGCTATCTGGACAGGTGTCCCAGTGACTTAAGGATTCACTGCTGTGTAGCGCACAGTACTCCTTAAGCTCCAGCCAAAATCAATTGGGAACGGCATGTCTGCATTGACGCTCTAGCAGGTACAAACGATAAATCTTGGGTTCTGTCATGTGATGATGACTCTATGGGCATGCACAAGGCAAGAGCCGTGAAGCTAAGAAGTCTCCTCATAGGTTTCAAAAGACATCATAGAGAGCCTAGGGGCCCTGTCACGGGATCATAGCTACTATAGAGGGAACTCCACTTAGGACGATGCCTGCTGAAACTGTGGAGATGGGGCAGGCCCCAAGAGTCCCTGTAGGGTTCTTGTTGGCAGAGCTGTAAGCAGAAGAGGCGCTGGGTGAGCTGAGAGGGAAGTCAGAGACACGGGGCACTTAAAAGACAAATTCTCAAAATGCTCAGGGGAAAAAAAGTATCATTTCAGCCTATCATTTCATAAATGCTATTTTAAGATCCTGTGTATGAATGGCTACTTTTAGAGAAATGGAAAGTTTCTTCCAAAATAAGAATCCCCCGGAGCTCATCCCCGCCCCCTCAAAGAACAGGGCGCAGAGAACGGATGTGAGGTGGGTGATACGTGCCTCCTTTTCAGCATCCTTAAAGGTCAGTTCCTTCTCCTTGACCCGTTGCATGAACGTCTGCTTCAGCTCTTCCTCCTCCCTCTGACACTGATCGTGGAACTCTTGTCTTTTGGCTTCATACATCTCTTGGAAACTAAAAGCAAAAGTTCATCATCCTTATATTTAAAACACTGATAAAGGGCCGTTGAAATGACTCGACAGGTAAGGAAGGGTACTTGCTGTTGTGCAAAAAGATCCTAGTTGATCCCCAGGACCTATGCGGTAGGAGAAAGGCAACTCCTACAAGTTGTTGTCTGACCTCTGCATGCGTGAACACACACACATACACAAATAAATAAATAAAATAAATGTAAAAATTTTAAATTATCTTAAATGCAACCATGGCAGCTACAACACGAACGTAATCCAATAGTACCGTCCGTACTTCTGTAGCCAAAATGTTGTCGCTGTGACGTAACTGTTCTTTTCATTGGCTTTTCACCTGACTTCCAGCATTTGTATAACTTCTTTCTAATGCTTTTCCAGCAACCTCTTCTCCAAAACCTTTGTCTATTTTTATTAATAAATGCCAATACTTGATTATCCTTCCATGAACCTCTATTTTGAATAGATACAAATGTTTTAAAAAACATAGTGCCTTCCCCTGGAGCTCACAGTTCAAAACATGCAATACTGGACACACTCAAACCTATAATTGAGCCCTGTCATGATGCTGCTCCTGATGCCTCCCCATCCCAGTCCAAGAACTATTAAAAACCTCAGAGTTCATCACGAGCCACCTCATCCTTCTTGGATGAACATACCTGGTGGTTTTAAGGGCATCCTAAAGGATCAATTTGTATGTAAAGCAACGTCTTTTTTTTGTTTTGTTTTGTTTGTTTTTTTTTTTTGTTGTTGTTGTTTTGTTTTTCGAGACAGGGTTTCTCTGTGGCTTTTGGAGCCTGTCCTGGAACTAGCTCTGTAAACCAGGCTGGTCTCGAACTCACAGAGATCCGCCTACCTCTGCCTCCCGAGTGCTGGGATTAAAGGCGTGCGCCACCATCGCCCGGCTAAGCAACGTCTTTTTTAAGATTTGTTTACTCTTAATTTTATGTATATGAGTGTCTATCTGTACGGATGTCAATATAGCTTATATAGGCCAGGTGCCCACATAAGCCAGAAGAGAACACTGGGTCCCCTAGAACTGGAGTTACAGATGGCTGGGAGGCAGCAAGCGGGGTGCTGGGGTTTGAACCGGGGTCCTCTGCAAGAGCAGCAAGCACTAAGGAACCACTGAGCCGGCTCGCTAGCCAGCACAGGCTTCCCTCACCTCACTGGCTGACTGTCGGGGCCCGTGTCGCTGAAGCCCAGTTGCTGTAGTCTGCTGCTCCTGTAGCACTCATAATGGTGGGAGTGTGTTTGATCCTTCAGATCTTCCATGTGCGTGCACAGGAGCAGATCCCGGAGCTTCACAAAGTCGCAGTGGTTCTCATTCTCCACTGGTCAAAAGGAAATCGGTATCAATCCGTTATGGAAGACTTTGGTTAGTATTGTGCTGAATAAACTTTCTACCGCTTTGGGTGTTCTCAGTCCAAATATTTGCTCTTTTTTAGTGCCGTCTCCAACTTTTCATCATTCAATTCCACTTCTCTCTCTCTCTCTCTCTCTCTCTCTCTCTCTCTCTCTCTCTCTCCCTCTCCCTCTCCCTCTCCCTCTCCCTCTCCCTCTCCCTCTCCCTCTCCCTCTCCCTCTCCCTCTCTCGCTCTCTTTCGCTGTCTCTCCTTCTCTCATCTGCGTATTAAAACAAAAACAAAAACTTTGAGCTCACCAATTATTTCTACTATTTATTTAGTCTATGTGGTATCTGATCTTGCTTTCAACCTCACAGACCGGGAAAGACAGAACCTGAATGGAGAGATTGCCTCCAATCAGATTGGTCTGTGGGCGTGTCTGTAGGGCATTTTCTCGATTGCTAATTGGTGTAGAAGGGTCCAGATCAATGTGGGCGGTGCCATCCTGGGCAGGTGGATCTAGGTAATAGGTGCTAATTTTTTCTTGTAGGCACTAGTACCTATTCTTCAGTTTTGTTAAATTGAGCCCGAACATTCTGAATGGCACCTTTCAGGAAGACAGAGACCGTGTGCGTGTGGCACATTGGTTAAACGAGGAGACTTTGTAGGTGTGGGTCTAAGTCAGCTTCTGGCAAAATCCTGTAGCGATGGTTCTCAACCTGTAGATCGCGACCCCCCTGGAAGTTTCATGTTGGTTTTCCTACATATCAGATATTTATGATTCATAACAGTAGCAAAATTACAGCTCTAACATAACAACAAAATAATTTTATTTTGGGGGTCACCACAACATGAGGAATTAACGGGGTCGCCACATTAGGAAAGTTGAGAACAACTGTACCATAAGAATGGAATCTGTGTTGCTCATTAGCAACTACTAACCTACTAGCTAGTTAAGAGTTCTCAACACTGGCCCAGATCAAAATGCTATTTGAGACTACGGATGGATAGCCCAGTATATACTGGATTTAATCATCATGAGATTTAAACGCGCTCTCCTATTTACCTTGCAAAACTCCCCATGGGTATTGACGACCTCTGACCATTCTTTTTCCAACTTTCACCTCCTCCATACTTCCTACCACAGCAAAAGGTAGCAGCCCCTAAACAAATAAAAATGATACAAGTTTCCAGACAGTGATAGCAGAGGCCTTTAATCCCAGCATTTGGGAGGCAGAGGCAGGCTGAATGCAGTGAGTCCCACATAATTTTCTCACATTATCTTTATACTGAACACATAGACAATATTGGCAAGATGATATGAAAGCTGTTTTGTTGATAGTATAGAAATTAACAGAAGAACTGATTAGAAATAAAGAATAAGGTGGGCATAGTAGTGCGCACGCCTTTAATCCCAGCATTCAAGAGGCAGAGGCAGGTGGATCTCTCTGAGTTTGAGACCAGACTGATCTACAGAGTGAGTTCCAGGGATGCCAGGGCAAGATAGTGAGATCCTATCTCAGAAAATAATAATAAATAAATTAAAATTATGGTTAGTTAATGGATAAACAGCACAAAATCTGCTAATGAACAATATTATGTGTGTCCTCGGGGGGACTAGGGCATTAGTTTCATTGATAAAGAACACACTCTGTGAGCATGAGAACCTGAGTCTGATCCCACAAAAAAAAAAAAAAAA